CCCGCAGCACAACATCAAAAAAGAGTCAGTGGGACTGGCCTTGTGGCGCAGTGGTTGGTTACGTTACCACTTGTAATATCAGCATCCCATAAGAGTCAATCAGAGTCCTGACTGCTCTACTTCTAGCCCAGCTTCCTGCTAATATACCTAGGAAAGCAGCAGAGGATAGCATAACTATTTGGGCACCTGCCACTCAGCACAGGAAGCCAGGATGGAACTCCTGGCACCTCGTTTTTCACTGGCACAGACTGGCTGCTACGGCCATTTACAAAGTAAAAGCAGATGGAAGACCTCTAGCTCTCCCCAACTCTGCCTTCCCCAATACCCTGAGTTCAGGAATTGGGGTCGCTCAGCACATTCCAAAGGGGCCCATCTACTAAATCTTTTCATTCTTCTGAGATAAGCACCTGACACATACAAGATACCAGGAAAGAAAAAAAAAAAAGAGTGCCTGGGTGGCAGGCTCAGAAGCAAGCCCCCAGGCCCAGTTTCTGTGCCCATCCCACACTCTCTGCAGCCACCAATGAGTGATGTCCAAGTGACCCGGACAGACATGGGCTGCCGGCCGGAGGCTCACGCCAAGCCCCTGCCTAGCCATGAGACTTCTTCAACGAGCAAACCCTCCAGGAATGCACATGAGCTCTCCACCAAGCGGCTGCCTCCAGGACACTGCCCCCCCCCAAAAAATATAAGCCACAGGCGGGAACACAAGTTCTGCCCTCCTTCCTCCTCCAGGGCTTCTGCAGTTCATACAAGAAGAGAGTCATTTAATTAGCAGATTAATTAATCAAAATGATTAATCATGACTGTCCAGCAAATCACAATGTCATCTCTGTGAGAAGGGTCCTTCTCCCAATCATTCAGCATCTGAAGCCCTGGCCACCGCCAAACTCCAATGTTGGCACCCACCAAGACTCTGCCAGAGTTTCCATTCCCAGCACCCATTCTGTTTGCCTGTACCCCAAGGAACATAAGGCTTCCAGGACAGACTCAGTTCTAAGGCAGGACATGGAGACTTGGCCCTGGACAGGACGGGCACACAGGGGCCAGGTGAGCCCTGTCCATTGAGATGGCTGCACCCCACCTTCCGAGCATCTCCAGAAGTCACTGTTTCCCAATGCAAGTCCATACTGCCTTCTGGGTACACATCCTTTCCTCTCTCACCTGATGTGGTGGCAGCTTCCTGGCTATCTCCTGCCCCACCCTGCTTCACCTCTGTCCCCACAGCAGCCAGGGAGAACCCCTCACAGCCCCAGTTTCCTCCCATCCCTCCTCTGTTTAGGGCTCAGCGTTTCCTTAGATCTGCCCCGAGACCTCCTCGCCCCCTCACTTCTCTACTCCCCCGGGGCTGGCTCACCTCTGGCTGCAAACCAGAGGGAACTCCCCAAGTGCTGGTCTAACTTCTCAAGTCTGGCAGAACAATCTGTCTGCGCAGCCAGGCAGCCCGAAACCCATCCGAAGGCTGCACAGAATCACGCCAGCCACACACTGAAGGATGGACAAGTGGAGCTTCTGCCACCTGCACAGCCTCCAAGCTCTCACAAACACCAAAGTGCAACAGAACAAGCCCTTGTGTGGGGACTCCAAGGTGACTTCCTATCCAGGGATGTCTGGCAGTTCCCAGCACCGTTCCTGCTTCCCAGTGGTGGAAAGCCTTTAGATCAAGTTAATGACACGGTAAGCAACCGGGGCATCAGTCTGCCCAAGGGACCAAGGCAGGGACCACAGCACTTAGCTCAAGCAGTTCTGCAAAAGTACAGCACCCAGGGGGAACAGAGCAGACTCCTGACACCTGTGTGGGATGCACACATCTCTGCCTACCAGGACAGACAGCACATAATGGACAGCAACCAACCTCATCACCTCCTGCCAGGTCCTACCCCAAATCCATCCCTTCCAAGCCAAGGCCTGAATTTCAGAGCAGCCCTGGGGCCAGTGCAGGATGTATAAGCTGACAAAGCAACTCTCAGCCAAGGTCAAAGATGGGGTTAGGAGAGCAACCTTGTGAGGAGAGGCTATTCCGGAACAGAATACTCCCCAGCAAGCAGTGCCTTTGTCTGCAGTCCCCTCCAGGGAATGTAAGATGAAGGATTCCCAGGACCCCCCCTCTCGACCAGGTGACTGCTGTTCCTAACCCAGGAGGCCCTCAGGACAACACTTGAAAGGGTGCCTCATCTTAGAAGCCAGCTCTGATCCAAGCCAGGAGATGCTCCACCAAGTCCTCAGCCCCAGTTCCCAAGGACAAAGACTCAGATTCTTTGAGTGTGGAAGACTCAAGGACCTTCTCTCATATCCCTTCCATAACAAGGCTCATCAGGGCAGGTGCTGTAGGGGCCATGGGATAAACTGCCACTAGGGATGCTTACATCTTACCTAGACTACCAGTTTGAATCTCAGGGGGTGCTTGGGTTCCCATCACTGCATGGGAGACCCCGATGGAATGCCTAGTTCCTGGCGTCAGCCTGGCTTAACCCTGGCTGGTGAGGGAAATAGATGGAAGAGCTTGCTAGCTCGCTTACTCTCTCTCTCTCTCTCCCTCCCTCCCTCCCTCCCTCCCTCCCTCTACTTTTTAAGTACATAGAAACAAAGAAACTGCTTTTGAAACTCTGGGATTTACTCAAAGAATGTAATACGACCACAGGTGGGTCAACAGCAAGAGTTTGTTAATTTTCATGGTTACTGTGGACTGCAAGTTACTAATGTTCTATTTCAGGGAATGATACAAGGTTTCCTTTTGTAAGAAATATTCCCTATAGTAAAGAGACATGAGGATTACATGCAATGGGGACTCTGAAACAGAAAAAAGAACACCAAAGCAGGGGAAATCCGGTTCTATCATGTGAATAAAGGCCATAGGCCAGGTACCAGGTACGGTAGTTATCACATGAGCACTTCAGTTATGCAAGATGCTAAGCTGGGGGAGGCAGACTGAAGGGGACCTTGTGTAGAGAAACTAAGACTCTAAGACCCCTCAAACTACAAAGTTAAGAAGTGCTCAAACTTGCAAGAGAAGTGAGCTGAAACACAAATTGGGCAATACATGCCTGCACAGGTGGTACGCACAGGGCTACTGGGAGTCATCCCAGTCCATGCGGAGGAGAACTTGGGAGTGGTGGCACACCTTCATTTTGCAGATGGCAAGAATAACGCTGCAAGAGGCCAAGGCCCACCCCATCCACACAGCTCCAGGCCCTGGGCCAGCCTTCAGTCCACCATAGCCCTAAGTCACTCAGGGAACCAGATATACCAGGGGGTGGGAAGGGGTCCCTTCCCAGGGACCTCCAAAAATTCTCTCTAAGGTCTCAAATGTCACATTTTTCCCTACCCTCTACGTGGACCATCAGCCCCGCTCCCCTGCCTGCCCCTTGCTCCTGGGTCTTGGCCTGCTCTCAGCGTCCAGCGCAGAAACTGTTTCTCATTTCCAGGGGGCTGAGTACAGTGCAAAACGCCTCACAAGCCCCCTCACCTTCACCAGGCAGGGCACCATGTGTGGGTGCCCAGGAGCTGAGTCAAGGGCCCAGAGGGTGGGGATGGCAGTCTGGAAAGCCCTTACCGTGTTTAAGGACGTCTAGGGGCCAGCTTCGCAGCCAGCAAGGCTTTCATCTAGTTGGGGGGTAGGCACATAGTCCTACTCTGAACAGAGCCCCAGTCAGCTGTGATCTCCCAGGTCTGGGGGATCCCAGTCCTGGGCACCCCAGGAAACCATCCCCGTGAGAGGCCCAGGAGATGTCAGAGTGTGTCTCCAGCCATACAATTCCACAGCCTCCTCCCAGGTGCCCCTCTACAGCACGAAAGTGGGACCTGGGCACAGAGGGGACCAAGTCCTGCTCCATCCTAACACCCTGGTCCCCACATCTGCACGGGGACATAGTGGACTGAGGCCACAGAACACATGTAGGAGCGTTTGAGGACAGGCAACCCATCCTCAGCGCTCTCAGCAGGGGCCTGCAGGGGGTCTCCACTCTGGAAGAAGGATCCAGAACTATGATCACCCTCTCCCGTACCCCTAGGCTTCTCCGTGCCACTGGCGCCTGGAGCTTCAGAGCACAGGCAGCCTTGACCAGTCCTCGGAGGCCCAAATACATCCCACAGGCAAAGTCGGACGCAGAAGAACCTGTCGGAGCAGTTCAGGCAGGAGTATTCCTCCTCTTCCTCCTGACGCTTCTACTTCTGGGTGGGAAGGGCCCTCGGCTCTCTCGTGAAAAGTAGGCACCGGGCCAAGTCATGGCCACAGGCAAGGGCCTGGAAGGCGGGTTTCAACGTCTCTAGGCTCACCTCCTGCCCCCTCCTCACCTTCCTCAGATAGCACAAGGGTCATGTCAAACTAGGGTGTCCCTGCCCGGTACAGAGGAAGGAAATGGGGAACCGTGCAAAGCCAGGGCGGAGGCAGCAAAGCCTGGCGCCCTCCCCGCGCACCAACACGACTCTGTCGCCGCAGTCCACCGGCCAGGGTCGGCCCGCCGGGACGAGGTTCGGGGAGCCACGGGCGGCCCAGCCCCGCCGCCACTCGCGCCTCTCGGGGACCCGCGCCGGCCGCGCGCCCGCCTCCCCCGGCCCGGCCGCCCGAGCCCGCGCGGGGAAAGTTCCTGCAACTTCGCAGGGGGAGGCGCGGGCGCAGGGCCTGGGCCTCCCTCCGGGCCGCCTCCACGGCCGCGCGGCCCCGCTGTCAGGCGCCCGGCCGGGGCCTGGCCCCAACTTCCCCGCGCCCTGGCGCCTCCGAGCCGCCGGCCTCGCTTTGTGCGGGCGCCAGACGCCCCGCCGGCCTGGCCCCGCGGCCCCAGCCCTGGGCACAAAAGGGCGCGCGGCGCCTCGGCCCCTGCAAGCCGAGTTCCACCAATCGTGCCCCCCAGCAAGCCGGCCTCCCCTTGCCGTCCCCGCCGCGAGCGGGCCGTCCCCGCGAGCTGTTCCCCAGCGATCCGTCCCCGCCAGGCGGGCCCGGGTTGCTGGGTGGCCGCGGCGGCCGAGCGTGCGGGAGGCGGCCGGGCCCGCTGCGCGCTCACCTGCCGTGGAACCAGTCCTTGCAGGCGTCGCACTCGATCATGAAGCGGGTAACGTCGTAGGGCAGCCGGCAGACGCAGTACACGGGCACCGTCGCCATGTTGCCGCGCGCGCCCCGCCGCTGCGCCGCGGTCGGGCCGGGCCGGGCCGGGCCGGGCCGCGCGGGGGCGGCGGGCGGGGGCGGCGGGCGGCGGGCGGCGCCGCGGCCGGGGGACGGGCCGGGGGCGCAGACCGCCCGCGCGCTCCCGGCTGCGCGTCCGCACAATGCCGCGCGCGCTGGAGGCCGCGCCGGAGCCGCCCGGCCGCGGGGCTCAGGGCGCGAGTGTGCGCGGGCCGGGCCGCGCGCGGGACACAAAAGGGAAGGGACGCGCGGGGGCGGCGGGCGGGGAGCCGCGGCCCCACCGCAGGGACCCCCGGCCGCCGAGCGGCCTCTACGTCAGCGCCCCGGGTGGCGCCGCCTCCGCCCGCCGGCCTGGGCCCCGCTGCCGCTCGGGGAAGGCGGGCCGGTTGGAAGGTGGGCCGGCCGGGGGGCCTCCCCGCGGGGACCAGGCGAGCCGAGGGCCACTGCCGGGCAGAAAGTGGGCCGTGGTACCTGCTGGGGAAAGAAGGTAGGCTTAGACGTCGCTGCCAGGGGAGTGAGTTGGGCCAGAGGCACGGGGTGGGGGTAGGGAAGTGGGCTGCGGGGACTGCGAGAAGGGGACCCAGGAACCCCAAGGCACGACCGGAGGGCCGATCGGTGACCTCCGGCTGGGTCAAGGGGACTGTCAGGTGGGGTCTTTCCTTCCCCAGAAAGCAGAAAAGCTCCTGGACCCCAACTTTTTCCTGGCCTGGCAGCCGCGGCTGACAGCTGGCGGGAAGGGGATGTTTCTCTTTGCCCTCCCTGCCTCAGCCTCAGTTCGTGTCCCCACTTGAGATCCTGACTCAAATACGACCGTGTGACTTTTCCCCCTTCTCTAAGCCGGAGACCACAGCCCTAGACGGACACGGGGTCCTCCCTGATGCTCACTCCCCAGGTGCCAGGGATAAGGGTCTCCAAGGGGCCCCAGAGTCTGGCCTGGGTGTGGGGGCTGCCCAGGAATCCCACTGGGCAAGGAGGCTTCCTTCCCCCACTGCTGTGTCTACCAGAGAGGAAGCCCGGGAGGCTGGCATTGCTCCTGTCCTCGGCTGTCACCGCCTCCCACCTCCCCTGCAGTGCCCTGGGGTCCTTTGGGGAGTGCGGGAGGGAGAGGCGGATATCTGTTCTCCCCTTCGCCTCTGGCCACACTTGCCCTTGCATCCTTTGAACACCCGTGCTGGGTGGAGGCCACTTTAGTCCTGTCTGACTTATGCTCCTGATCCCCTCCTCTCCCATTTCTATAGCAAAATGCACCTAATGCTGGGGGATGCGGATCACTTTGAGGGGTTGGTGGGAGGGGGAGGCATAATTCATGTTCCCAGGCCTTTCATACCTCCAGACGCCCTGGACAAGGGGCTCTGGGGTACACAACAGGCAGCTCTGGAAAGGTCCTTCCTCCTGTAGAACCAAAACCGGAACTCAAGGCCCACCTCCTGTACCCAGCAGGTGCCCTTCTGCTGATGTCAGAATCAGGCCCCCACCTGGAGACAAAGGATGAGGGGAGAGAGGAGTGACCCCGTTCTCTCAGTCCTGGGAGCTGCCCCACATGGGTCCAGGAAGACCTCACTGCAGTTCTTTCCCCCCAGCTGCTGCTTCACCCAGCAGGCTCTGAGCCAGGACCAAGTACCACTGCCCTGTCTGGCATCAGCACCTTGCTGTCAGATAGTGAAGTGGGGCCCAGCCAGAGAAAGGTGGGCAAGCACTGCCCAGGTGCTGATGGATATAGCCCTGCCCCCCTGCAACGCTACGAGGGCAGCCGGATGAGTGGTGCTGAAACTTCTGCGTAATTATCCTTTTCCTAAAGCTGGAAACTTCTGAAAGCCCGTGTGTGGGGGGAGCAGCCCTGCCTGTCTCAACCCTTCCCTTTCCTTGTCTACAAACAGAGAAACCAGCACCCAGCACGTGCCGTATGTTTCCCGGGTGCAGGGTTCCTCCCTAAGCCTTCTCCTGGATTCACAGTGCCCCGGGAGGGCTTGGGTCACTGTGGCTGCTACCCCACGCTGGACTGTCACACTGCTGCTGTTATTGGTGCCATTTTACAGACGTGAAAACTGAGGCTCAGCGTGTTTGCATGTTAACCAGAAACATCAGCTCTGTGGGAGATGGAAGAGAGTGCTAGAAGCCTGCACCTCTCTGAGTCTTGGAGCTAGCTGAGCTTTGGGTCCCTCACAGAACTCGACTGTGGCACCCTGCCCTCCCTACCACCTGCCTCCTATCTCCACCCCTGGAGAATCCTGTCTGCAGCCAGCTATGTCCACTGCACTGTTCAAAGACATCCTGGGGGTCAAACCAGTTTCCTCCCCTGCCCTTTCCTCTGCCCCTTGCCCCCTTCTCGGATACTCATTAATTGAGCACCTACTGTATGCAGAACAGTGCAGAAGACATGGAGAATGGCTCAGGAGGTTCCCACGTGGGGTAGAGGAGGAGAGAGATGCCCTTTCAGAAGGTGACCTGGGAGAGCAGTGTGATGGGTAGGAGGGAGGGGGAGCTGGGTCTGGGCCACAGGGAGACAGAAAGGGGAAGGACTGGAGGGATTGAGGGTGGAGGAAGCTCAGTGCCATCATGTCCCCCATACCATGTGACCTGTGGGCCCAGACTTGATGCCCGTTGCCTTTGCTGTCTGGGTCTCCACACTGCTGCCAGGCCCTTCCACACTCCACAGGGCTCGGCTGCAATTCAGCATGTACCGGTCAGCTGGCATCCAGAGGTCACCACCCAGAACCCAGTTGGCCTGGCCTGTGAGCCCCATGCCTTCTGTTTTGGCACTCCAGGAGCAGTATGACAAAGCACCACATGCAGGCAGGAGCATCTGACACAGGTGTGTTGTGTTCCGCTGTCACCCAACAGGTCATTTGTATGGAGCCTTTTGCAGCATGCATTTATTCCCGTACTCACCCATGCAACAAGGGGTGTAACAGGGATTTTGCGTTTTAATTGTGGATGGATAGCCATTGTATAAAATGTTCCATCTGAAGATGCCCTTAAGGGTGCTCACATGACTCTGCAACCATCATCACCTGTATCCAGCCATAGAACCCCTTCACCTCTGCAGACTGCCCCGATTCGCTTCCCTAACCGCTGGCACCTTGCATTCTGCCTCCTGTCCACGTTCATTTGACTACCGTAGGGACTGCGTGCTCCTGCTTCCTACAGTGCTTGTCCTTTGCAACTTGCTTGCTTTCCTCATTGAGCAGGGAAGCAGGCTGTCCTCGAGGTACACCTGTAGCTCGTTGTGATGTGCCAGGATTTCATGCCTTCTTAGGACTGCACAGTATTTCAGTGTGTAGACCATGTCTTACCTGTCCCCTGTCAGTGGACACTGGGGTTGCTCACACCCCTTGGCTAGTGTGAACAGCTTTACTGTGAACACTGACATGCGCATATCTGCTCTAGAACCTTCTTTGATTTCAGGTGTGTATCCAGAAGTGGACTCAACTTTCTGAGTGATATATGGCGCTGGTATTTTTGTTCGCTTGAAGGGGCACCAGACCGTTTTCCACAGTCTGTTTCATTTCACAAGAGGTCCAGATTTTGTTTCATTTCACAAGAGGTCCAGATTTTCTACTTCCGTGTCAATGTGTGCTTTCTGTTTTGTTCTGTTTGATACTAGCCATCAGAATGGATGTAAAGTGGTAACTTCTTATCATTTGTTTTTGCATTTCCTTGGTGACTGCGGATACTTGCTATCAGGTGTATGCATCTTGGCCATTTACCTAAAGTCAGTCAAATCTTTTGCCCATATTTGACATGGGTCATTTGTTTCCTGGGTGTGGAGTTCCAAGACTCCTTTATGTACGGTACTCTGGATATTAATCCCTTATCAGATATGACTTGCAAATATTTCCTCCCATTCTATCAGTTGCCTTTTTATTCTATTCATAATATTCTCTGTCCAAAAGTTGTTTGAACAAATTCTGAATGATCTATTGCCCTATTGTTGCCCGTGCTTTGGATTCATATTCCAGAAATGATTGCAGCATTGAGTATCACGAACTTTGTCCTTATGTTTTCTTCTAGGAGTTTTGCACTTGTAGCTCTGTGCTTGGATTTTCACTCTACTTTCAGTTTATTTTTGCCCAGGATATAAGGTAAGTTCCCACCTTCATCTTTAGCTTATGCGTGTCAACTTTCTCAGCATTGTTGCTGAAGGGACTGTCCTGTCCTTTCCCCATCAAAGGGCTTTGGCCCCTCTGTCAAATAAATACATTTTTAGCATACATGTGAGAGCTTATTTCCGCGCCGTCTGTCCATTCCATTGGGTGGTGTGTCTGTCCTTATGCCATTGCTGCACTATTTTCATTACTATTTGTGGTAAGTTTTGTTTAGTTTTTTTTTTTAAGATTTATTTATTTTTATTGGAAAGTCAGATATACAGAGAGGAGGAGAGACTGAGAGGAAGATCTTCCATCTGATGATTCACTCCCCAAGTGACCACAACGGCCGATGCTATGCCAATCCGAAGCCAGGAATCTCTTCCGGGTCTCCCACGCAGGTACAGGGTCCCAAGGCTTTGGGCCGTCCTCGACTGCTTTCCCAGGCCACAGGCAGGGAGCTGGATGGGAAGTGGAGCAACAGGGATTAGAACCAGAGCCCACATGGGATCCCGGCGCGTTCAAGGCGAGGACTTTAGCCGCTAGGCTACCGTGCCAGGCCTGAATGGTAAATCTCCTAAGCAAGGAACACAGGCCATCTTTTCATGTACTTGTGTATTTCATTCATTTCAACAACATCTGGTAGTTTTCAGTGAACAAGTGTTTGTCTTTTTAAGTTTATTCCCGTTTTATTTTTTTATTTAAATGGAAATTCTATTTTCCTTTACTGGTTGGTTGAGTATGGAAATGAAACTAATTTTCATGTCAGTTTTGTATCCTGCTCCTTCATGACTTTGTTTATTCTCAGTTTTGTTTTTAATAATTATTTTTATTGGAAAGGAAGATTTACATAGAGCAAGATCTTCCTTCCTTTGATTCACTCCCCCAACAGCCATAACATCCAGAGCTGAACCAATCCAAATCCAGAAGCAAGGAGCCGTTTCTGGGTCTCCCACACGGGTGCAGGGTCCCAAGGCTTTGGGCCGGCCTCGACTGCTTCCCCAG